CGAGGCTAAAGCCTCTGAGTAATTATCACGGTCACGCCTTTGCTACATGGACCACGTCTCTTGTAAAACCTACTTTCACCCAACTAGCTCCAGTCTCCACCGCGTCTATCCTCTTTCTATCTCAAATACCAAGTCTATGACTTGCCATGCCCTAGTCTCTTGTGTGCCAACCCACAAATGTTGTGGTACTGCTTGCTTTGACTAGGTTCAATGTTTAACCACAATGTTTGTGGGTTGGCACACAAGAGACTAGGACATAGCAAGTCATGGACTTGGTATTAGAGATAGAAACTGGATAGACGCGGTGGAGACTGGAGCTAGTTGGCTGAAAGTGGGTTTTACAAGAGACGTGGTCCATGTAGCAAAGGCGTGACCGTGATAATTACTCAGAGGCTTTAGCCTCGAATTAGTCACCAAGACGCAGGGGGTGGGGCGAATAACGCCTCGAGTGGCACAGATGGGGTGGCAGGGGTCGAGTGAAATATGAGAACCAGGGAGAGAGCAGACGGATCTTATGGGGCAAGAGAGAGACTGTGATAAGACCTAGCGAAGAAGGACTGCGTAACAATATGGCAGATTCTGATAAACATTCCCATCACAAGGATGAAGGGGGTGAGAAGGCCAGTCTGGAGAGAGCAAGTAAAAAAGATGGTGAGTGAAGGTGTGATAGGAGGATATGGGAAGTGTGAATAGGGCAGGACAGAAAGGGAGATACCACAACTGTTTAGCACACGTTTAATCAAAGGATGGGATTCACTTGTCTCTTTGACGAGTTGTAATGTGGTTTTACGAATGGCGAGACTCACTGACGATGCCGGCGAAACGTCCACGGTCCGAATTTGGAAATGATTATGCATACAATGGACTCCGGACAAGGTGCGCTCCTTTAAGTTTTCCTACCAATATGATCAAATTGCGATAACAAGGTCAAACAACTTCTATAATTAATTAAAGATATGAAGACCAAGATGTTGTGGCCTCTGGTATGGTCTCAGTCTCTTTTAGATTTATAGAAATGGGTTGACCTCGTTGTCGCAACTTGGTCTCGTTGTCAGGGCGACTTAGTACAACGCACCTAGTTCGAAGTCGTCTGCCATAGTAGTTGTCAAGATTCCCAGCATCAGAAAGTGGATTTGGACCATACAAAGGAGATAGAATTGGATATGATAGATTGGATTCAGTCTTATTCTTTTAAATATCAATTAAATATTCCTCTATTAAATAGTAATTTTCGAATAATATTTGATAATGTAAGTGGGCCAATTGATGTGAAGAGGGGTGTAATTAGTCGAGTAATGTAAGGTAAAAAGGGATAAGCATCAACATGTAAGGGGTAAAAAAAGATATTCAATAATGCATATCGGACAAGATTACACACACAAAACCGTTTTGAAGATACTCTACTAGATACAGTCCCAAGCCGAATTAGAGCCCGTCACTTTAAACACGAAATAGGAAAGAATAG